ATTGGGTACATTTCATGTAGAGAGAAGAGGCGAATGTGGGATGCAGTCAGGCAGCATCACATCCAGGATGATGGGTGTGTGAGGAACTATAGTTTTTTAGTTTCTTAGGTTATTGAAATTCCTTTCAATTTTTGTTTACAGTCTTTACTTCTTTTATTCTGCTTTCTACTGGTCACCATTGTCATAAAAGTCCTTTACATAGTGAAATAAAATGTTGAAAATGTTTAGTTTCATGGTTGTACCTCACCTCTCTAACCCCAGTGGCATGTTGAATCTGTGTCTGCCCTTTTGGGTTCAGACAAGATTAGACTTCCTAAAGCTTTGATTTCCCTCTACTCTTTATCCCCAACTTCAGGGACTTTGTGCTTAACTTCTCTTTGCAGAAATGGGCATAGAGGTCTTTCCAGGCAGGAAATGTATGACAAATATATTGGAATTACTTTTACTCCAAGTCTTCAAGTTATTTCAAGAAATAACTTGCCTCCCTATTCCCCAGTAGTTACCATCATATTATTGCTTTAGTACCATGGAGCACCTTTCAAAACGGCTGTAGTTATTTAGGTATTCTTATGGGGTACTATAAGGAGCTCTGGTGGTGTAGTTCCTAAGGCATTTGACTGCTTAGGAGAAGCTTGGTGCTTCAAACCCACCAGCCACTCTGTGGAAGGAAGACTGGGCAATCTACTTCTACAGTGATACTGCCTTGGAAACCCAATGGGGGTTGCTATGATTTGGAATCAATTTGATGGCAGTGAGTTTGGTTTTTTTAGGGGGTACTGTAGAAATTCTTGTGATGTAGTGGTTAAGGATTAGGCTGCTAACCAAAGATTGGTGGTTCGAACCCCCCAGACACTCTGTGAAAGAAAGATGATCTGCTTCTGTAAAGAGGTACAGCCTTGGAAACCCAGTGGAGGTTGCTGTGAGTCTGAATTAGCTCAATGGCAGTGAGTTTGGTTTTGGGTTTCTGAGAAGGGGGTATTATGGTTAGACTTAGCAGAGTTAGTATATTCTGTGTGACTTAAGTCCTTTGTGGGAAAGGACAATCAGGCCTGGTAATAGAACAGTCTTTTACTCACCAATATATTATTTTAAGAAAGAAAAACAGGGAATAAAGTTAATAACTTTTGCTCAAAGAGATGGAACATGAAAACATTGTATTTTGAGATTTTCTTAAAGCTATGTATAACTAATAAATGCTAAAGAGCCATATGCATGCTATCATTTAATTGGAAGAAGCTAGACTATAAAGATTCATTTTAAGCTCAAGAAGTTTTGTGGCCACTCATAAGAATCTTGCCAGAAGAAGAATCTGACAAATGGTTTTAAAATGTATCCAAAACACGCAAGTGAATTTTAAATTTACTCTCCTGATAGCTTGGAATCTGTTTACAAGTGATGTTGGTTTCCTTTAACAGATTGCTTCGAATGAAAAAACTGGTGATGTATTTTTCATTTTCCATACGGGCTGAGAAAGTGTATTGGGATATAATTGTCAAGATATCCCTGTATCAAGCATAGAAATTACATTGTATACATGATCATTTAGTTACTTTTGAACATATTTCTTGAGTATGTTCTAGACATCTAGGAGCTCTGGTGGGGTATTGGATAAGCCATTTGGTTGCTAACTAGAAGGTCAGTGATTCAAACTCACCAGCTGCTCCATGGAAGGAAGATGGAGCGATCTATTTCCATAAGATTTACAGCTTTGGAAATCCAATGGGAGGTTGCTATGAGTCGGATTTGCCTTGATGGCTGTGCGTTTCGTTTTGGTTTATGTTCTAGATTAGAGACTTTATTGTTACTGTATGCTTGATAAGACAAGGTCCCCAGCTTTGTGGAGTTTACACGGTGGTAATTCCTATGACTTTTGATGAAGTAAAATAGATATTTGAGACTTTTGGTTATTTTTATTTTTATTTTAATTTGAGAGGCAGTAGTGCAAGCTCATTTTCTCCTCAGTGGTTCTCATTTTCCAACAGCTGAATGGAATTAGGGACAGAGTCTGTGGCCAAGGCAGGGTGCTGAGCTAACCAGCCCACATGCTGATATAGAACAAGTGCACATTGGCGTGGTCTTGACATTTTGCTAATGTTGAAGTCATGCCCTATCTGTTTCTGCTATGATGGGAGAAAATTACTGAAGCCCCATTGTTCTCTGGCAGCAAAGAGGGATAATTTGGTGAATGCTGGCTTTTTGTTATCAGGGACATTATCAGATGCCCAGAATTTCCTTGATACTATATGGAAAATAGGAGAAAAGCTGACTGATGCATTCTTGGGGTCCTTTGTAGTCTGTGAACTATAATCTGCTAGTTTCTGTAAGCTTTCCAGTATATCAGAAAGGCAACTGATTTTTCCTTTTGATTCCACCGGAAGAGAAAAGGAGAGGACAGGTACTGGGACTGTTCTTAGTAGAGCTAGCAATTCATCTCTTATTTGTAAGAGATAAGAGTTTAAACAATGAGAAACT